CTCAACCTCCAAAACGAAGTTACCACACTGCACCTCCAAACTCAAAAACGTGCTCTAGGGCAATGCCGATCCGTTGAGCCCTGCAAAGGCGACCAACCCAGTGGCCCAGCCAGTTTTGATGGCGTAGTTCTGACCGAGTCAACTGTTGAGGCACCCCTGTTGAAAAGACGACGATGGCTTGTCAGCATTGACATCAGTCACAACCAACGATTGCTGCACAGAAGACGACGAGTACAAGTCACGAGTAAGAGAAAGAACAGTTGCAACTAAGTGTTCTTCCTTTCGTACTGCGCAGGACAACGTGATATGCTGGGGGGACGATTCAGAGCTCCAGCTGCAAGTTCCAGGGAAGGCCCGCGTGCAAGAGTGGCAGCAGCAGCTTCGATTCGATCCGTCCTCCTTGCTGCAGGACCAGGGCCGGAGCGGCGTGCAGGAGCGTGCGAGGGGCGACCACTTGGATGTCGTCGAATCGGAAGAACCGGGAACTCTTGGACTTTTTCGGCATGTCGGGAATCCACAACCCGTCCGGCACACTCTGTGGGCTCCTAGTGTTCTTGTCTTGGTTTCGGTTGCAGCTGTTATCGAAACAAAGGCCTTAAAACCCCTCCTCCATTCGACTCGAGATAGGCGGAGTGGGAAAGATGTTTTCGCCCGATTCTCTCGAACTCGCCCGGGTGTTTTTTGGATTTGAAGGTGTATTCTCAAATTATTGTGGTGTTCTGCTGTGCTACATCTGCAGATTAAATGAAGCCTTACGATCCTCGAGTAAAAACGACAAAGCTTGTAGCCTCCCGCCATTTGCATACCTTTTCGCCTTTTGCACATGTTTTCAATGTTTAGTGACGCAAACCGGCGGACACGTCGATCCCCGTCTCATCTCCATCGTCAAGCCTGGGGTCTGGAGTTTGTTTGTCAAGCCTTTCTTGGCACCCGTGCTTCAGCGCTGCAGCGATCCAGTGTGAGCGGATGCTTTGAGCAAAAAGCAGGAGACCTTTAGCTCCATCTCTGCCGGCAACTTTCACACCTGCGGCTTAACCCTGGGCATGGACGTGTGGTGTTGGGGCCGAGTCAACCTTTATCGCCTGCTCCCCGGAGGTCCCAAACGGCTAGCCGTTTGAGCCCTTGAGCCCTTTCCGCCCTGCTTGCCCGAGGCTTGGATTTCAGGACGCCTTCGAATGCCACGATGTTGAGCAGCGGCGGCATCCATGCTTGTATCCTCGACATCAACCAGAAGGCTAAGCAAACGAGCCAGCAGAGTGCTGCTTCAAGTCTTCTCTGTGTAAGACGAGTCGATGTTCACCCTGACTTCACTGCTTGGTTCTTGAACCCATGCATGGTTGTCAGGCCAGATGCTGGGGAGGTGACAACGTTGGCCAGGCAGACGTGCCGCTAGACTCTGCAACCTATCCGCTGGGTGCTCGGCATTGCCGAAACGCAAGCCTGTGGATGGCAACAGGATGGCAAACTGTGATCTCAGACGGCTGTTTCAAAGGCCTTCAATCCTCGACTACTCAAACGATCCGCTTGACATTAACGGTGAGGACCGAAAGAAATGAGATTTCCAGCGTGGCGACTCGACTCCGCTTTGCTGTAGGATCCGAGTATGCGGATCTATGAGTATGTTCCAGGCTACTCCACGCCACTGAGGCTTCGGACCAGCTGCTGAGAGAAGATCTTTAATACGCACTTGTGCATGAAACCAGGACGAAGCAGCACGTTAACATGGCTCAAACCTCAGCAAGCTGTTCGATATCTTCGCACAAAAGTCCCAAACCTAACGAAGCTGCGTCCGAGCATGTACCAGGCAATCTTTTTTCCGGAGTTTGCCCTTACTGACTCAGCCACGTGCAGTTCCCAGTTGGGTCGGCCCCGCACAGCGTCGCGAACAAGTTCCGATAAGCTGCTGTAGTTGTTTGAGGCTGACATTCACGCATTTGGACGGCTCTGAGGACACTTCAGTCTTGAGCCCTGCCTAAGCAGCTTGGCAGATGCGCGCAGGACCCTTATTCCCCGCATGTCATCCAGTTCCCAGACTCTTGGAACGCGCCCGTCATCAACGAGCTGAACATCTCAGCCTTCGACCTCTCGCATTGGTACGACCTTCGCTTGGGACCATCTCGTTCGGGCCCCAGAATAGTGCGCTTGTTCCAGCACCGAGTTGTATTTGATGTTGTTTGGAAACGGCGGCGGAAGTTGTGGTTGTGGTTGTGGTTGTGGTTGTGGTTGTGGTGGTTGTTGCTGTCGGTGTCGCTAGTCCTGTTGCTGTTTGTGTTGGTGTTGTTGGTGCTGGTGTTGTTTTTTTTGTTGGTGTTGGTGGTGTTGGTGTTGGTGTTGTTGGTGTTGGTGTTGGTGTTGGTGGCATAGGTGTTGGTGTTGGTGTTGTTGTCGGTGGTTGTGGTGGTGGTGGTGCTGCTGCTGCTGCTGCTTCTGCTGTTGGTGTGGTCGTGTTGGTGTTGGTGCTGGGTCGAGGGTGTGGTTGGCATCGTCTTCGTCGTCGTTGTTGTTGCCACGCCCTGGCATCTACGCTATGGGCGGTCCACAGACATCACGCTTTCCCTTTCATAGCTTTGATTGTTGGGAGAGATGGATTTTGGGATGCCCAAATCTGTACAGCGCAGGACCCAGATCCTCCCTGTGTTGCACCTGGGACCGAGCCACATCCCAAACGTGCCGGGGACAACACCCTATCCCCACTACTAACTACTAGGCACACATGACGACGACGAAGACTGTTGCTCAGGACCTTGCCGTGGTGTGCGCATACCATACCCATCAACCTGTTGTTGTTGCCGTTGCCGTTGCCGCTGTGGTTGTTGTGACTTGTTGTTGCTGCTGCTGTTGTAGCCGCCACGGACCACAGAAGGCAGTGTAGCTGTGCTAACCAGGCCGGGGGTACCAACTCTAGAAGCTCGCAATAGGCTCCCTTCGCCAAGTGTAAGGGTTGTCCGATCGACTGAGCCGTTTTGCGGGTGCCCCCGCCAAGCACCTCTGTGGTCAGCCGGGTCCCAATTCCCGGGCCTTGCAGCTGACGTCACGCTTGACCGCCGAGGTAAGCGGTAGGGTTACCTGTCCGCAGGGTGAAAGGAATCTCCTCGACTTCGTGTCGAAAATAGCGGATGGCGGCATCGCTTGTGCACCAAAAATTCGCAAGCGAGCATTCGTAAGAGGGCCTTTCGTAGGGCCTGCAATCGGGTTTTTTCGCGCCCAGACAAGTCAGGAGCATCGTCATGGCACGATCACGCCTGAATACTTGAGGAGCAGCGGCGCTTGCTTCCGCCCACTCCACCTGGCACCCATCACAGTCTACTTCCTCGCCGAGAGCAGACATGCTGGAGATGTCCGAGCTGGGAGAATCCAAAACCTCCTGAAAGTCTCTGCTGCCGGGTGACACCTGCAACGCAGCTTAGGGTTGGGGCTTAGGGTGTCGGGGCTTCGGCGTTTAGGGTTTAGGTCACCAGAGCCTGCACAAGACCAAGGCCAGTGCTGCCTGGAGCGAGCGTAAGAAAGCGCGTCAAGAACAGAATGTCCCCCTGCGTGGAGGTGCGGCCACTTCGACTCTTGTCTTGGTACGCAGGACACTTTTGGGTTTACAGCAGTGGGCTGAGGTCAAGACACGGCTTCACGCCGGAAACGCATTGAAATGAAGCCGCCAAGTTTGCTGTGGAAGGGTGGCAGTGCACAAGCTCTGCCAAAAAAAGAGCTCCACGTGCTGGGCAAGGCAAAACCCCGGCACCGCCGAGGGCACTCTGCTCCTGCACCGCAGGAAGCTGCTTCCGATGCTGCTCCCTCGCTGACCGTCGCCACTAGTAGGCCGGATGGGGTCATGTAGCTCCTTCTTCCTTCGATTGACAAAAAGACAAGATGGAAGGAACACATCCGAGGTCGACTGGTTCAGGCCTCCTTCCCATGGCATGGAGCAAGAGTTCATGCGCCGGTAGCATATCAACATGTGTGGTCCTCGCAAAAGAGTGTTCAGCAGAATAAGGAGGGTCGCTCCAAGTTCCTGGGCACGCTGGCTTCGGCGCTGATAGCCATTCCGGCCAAGGACACTCTCCTACTAGCCGGAGAATGCCGGAGACTTCAATGCGCAGCTCTGCTTAGTCGGGCGCTCTAGCAGCTCTAGCACCCCGAGTTCGGATACGGAGGAGCAGCGGCAGGGGACACACGTTCCAACAGGGGGACACTAGGTCGCAGATCATACATTTATCCTCCTTCCCGAACTCCTCACCAGGAGTGGCTAAACATCCAAGCCCATGCCATGCTTGGGACGGGAAAGAAGGGCGGCCATATCCCCTTGGTTCCGCAAGTTCGCCCAATCATACGCTGGAACCTCCCACGAAATCACAAACCTGTGCTGAAATACTGCCCGGCTGCACTGGGGGCAGCAGTTCGGTCTCATACCACAACTCATGATAGCCGCAGCGGACCATCACCCGGGCCGAGTTACTGAGATCTTGCTGGAAGTAGCAGTGCGCTTCTTTCCCAAGCGCAGCCTCCCCATCGCCCCCCTACACGCTCAGCACAGAGCAACACTGCGCATGTGGCAACGCCTGCAGCAGATTGAATAAGAAGCCGCTTCCTAAACGGTGGCAGGTGCGGACCACGCGTCCTTGGTGGAAGACTTGGCCACCTGGCACAAATAGGCGATCAACCAGGTGGAAGCAAAGGGCTGAAACAGTTCTTAGAAAAAGTTGATGACGCCTGTCGCATGGGGGATGCCTATTTGGTGCAAAAGACGTTGTGCAAACTTCGCCCCTGGGAGCCACAGACGACGGCGCAGCTTCAGAGTCCTGAGGGCTCTCTCCTGACTCCGCAAGAGGAACTCCTCCTGCTGGAAACTGGAAACGCATGTGAAGAAGGTCTTTGCGAAATACCCACCGTCAGAACACGCCGTGCAGAACGAGAAAGGCCCGGAGATCTACTCAAGCACGCGACTGAGGCCTAGCTTCAAGACATGCATCAGTTCGCGTGTCAGCCTAAGCGAGGGTTGTTTGATGCTTTGGGAAGAGCGGTGCAGCATGTCACTTCGGTCAGTCAGAGAAGCCTGCATGAATCCTCGCCGCACTCGCAAAGACCTATAGGGCTTTGGCAAGGTGCAACCCAAGGGAGGTATATGCTTTGCGTTGGACCTCTCGCAGGAATCGACATGGTGGATCGAGCGGATCTCTTGTGACCACCTCGGACAAGGCGGGCGCCGATCCGGCAACCCGAGATCTGGTCGCAGCTCTACTGGCGGGAAGCCGACACGGCGTCAAGGCGCAAGGAGCCGAAACCAACGTCACGTCCGCCACTGGCATAAAGCAAGGCTGTAAGCTTTCCCCTACCCTCTTCCCTCTCCTCCATGTTGAGGGGGGCCATGTTCCGAGAAGTCGTTGCACTGGCACCATCTACGACCGCGCTCCGGCTTCACCGGATATGCAGACGATCTCACAGCCCACCGAGACATCAATTCATGGCAGGACCTATTACGGGCGCACCAGTTGATAGAAGCTCTCCATGCCCGTGCATGCATGGTATAAGTGTGCCCCATGGAGCGTCATGATCATGGTCGCCTCCCAGCGAGCTATGTAGCCCTGCTGGCGGCTGCGTCTTTCGAATCATGTATGCGTGACGTGCCCTTGCCCACGCTTGCGTGATACGTGAGCGATGCTTAAAGTGTCATGATCACAGTCGCCTCCCAGCGAGCCATGTGGCCCTGCTGGCGGCGGCATCTTTGCAAACATGAATGACGTGCCCTTGCTCATGCGTGCATGAGACCGGTGCCCGTGTATGCGCGACGTATGCGTTCCCAGCAATATAGATTGTATAGATGTAGCCTTGCTGATGGTCTGATGGTCTTGTTTTTGTTGTTGTTGTTGCTGCTGCTGTTGCGGCTGCTGCTGCGATTGGGGTTGTGGTGGTGGCTGTGGTTGTGGTTGTGCTTGTGCTTGTGGTGGTGGTTGTGGTTGTGGTCGTGGTTGTGGTCGTCGTGTGGTTGTGGTTGTGGTTGCAGTTGCGGTTGTGGTCGTTGTTGCTCTCTTCTCCTTCTTCTGTTTTTTCTCCTTGCAAGACCACATGCGCTGTGCGAGACAAGTGAACATGCCATGGTGTCGGCGCTGATGGTGCAGGTGCGGGTGCAGGTGCGGGTAAGTGGTGGTGGCGGTGGTGGTGGCGGTGGTGGTGGTGGCGGTGGTGGCGGCGGTGGTGGTGGTGGCGTTGGCGGCGGTGGCGGCGGGGTGGCGGCGGCGGCGGTGGTGGCGGCATGGTGGTGGTGGTGGTGGTGGTGGTGGTGGTGGTGGTGGGGGCGGTGGCGGTGATGGTGGTGCATGGTGGTGGTGGCGGTGATGCTGGTGTGCTATTGGTGGTGGTGGTGCTGGTGGTGCTGGTGGTGCTGGTGGTGGTGGTGGTGGCGGTCGCGGTGGTGGTGGTTGTGGGCAGTGTGTGGTGGGACAGGGCACACACGGAAAGCGCTTGCCCGCAGACTGCACAGCCGCACAGCGCCACGTTGCCGAACGTTTTTCAAGGCCGAAACCCGGCAAGTGTCACATGCGGCTCTGTACATCATGCTGGGACCCTTCAAAACATTTATGACTAGGCGGCTAGGTGCCTGTGTGTGATGGCTACAGGTGCCTGTATGTTATGGCTAGGTGCCTTTGTGGTAGTATATGGGAACCAGGCAATGTTCAAGTTTCCCAGTCTGACACCTGTAAAAAAAGGCTCTCGAGAGGGTGCACCTAGACTTCAGCTTTTGCACAAGGAAGCATGCCATGTACCAGCGGTTTATCGATTGATAAAGTTGGGTTTGCAACAACAACCAAAGGATTATCGATTGATAAAGTGGGGCTTGCGAAACCAACCTAAGAGAAAGTGGGCCGTGAATGCCGGGATAGAGTTTATCAGTTGATAAAGTTGTGTGTGGGGCTCCATGGTGGTCTCCGCGGACTTGAAGAGGGCGCCTCCTGCATGGCACGCATGATGTGTCTTCAAAGTCTCAAGTGAGGTCAGGATCCCGCCTGTCTCGCAGATGCGCCAGCCATGCTTGGCCTTGGAAATTGGTGGAGCTGTCCGTTCACTTCTACAAAGCACTCGTGCCGGCCTTCCAATTCATCACGGAAGCTGAGCCGGCCCATGTCCCATCTG